CACACTGGAGAGAAACCGTATCACTGCACTGCATGTGGGAAGTGTTTCAATCAATCATCTGCTCTACACAGACATAGAAAAAACAAGCACAGTAAGTAGATCATCTTCAGATCCAGCACTTTCAGATCTGATGCTGCGTCCTCAACAAATGAGACACAATAATGAATCAAGCAATAAAATATAATCTGGATAAATCTGTTCTAACCAGACATTAAAAGTGACATGACAAAGAAACATTATCTAAAGTTTCACAGTGCCTCCCCAAAGAACAATGTCACAAAGTTTTATTCTTGTATATCATTTTGCTTCATTTTATAAATAATATTGTTTTCTTATGAGTTTCATGTGAGTTTGTGAGAGTCTTACAATGCACATGTATCACTTGTACTGTGAGATTCAGATCAACTCAAAAGCTCTATTCGGACAGTAAATGTTTCTCCTGACACCTTGAGATTGAAATAACATGATAATAGATGATGAACTCATGAAGCAGTGGAAGTTCATTCATTATTTCTGTGATGTGAAGCTCAAGTATGATGTGTTGATGTGATGATGATTTGTTTATATGTTGCAATATATTTGACCTGAACTAACAGACATGATCACAGATCCAGCAGAAACTGAATCAGTAGGACTGATGGATCAGTATTCAGAGGTACCGCACGTCTTTACATGCAGTTCATTAATACTGAAACAGTCAATCTGCAGTGCTTTGTCAAGAATTGTTTATCGATTTATACCTTTGATTTCATTCACAGTTTCACAGATTGATCTTTGTCTGTTATCTGTCCACGCATCTGTCCTGCAGTGATTGTGATTATTGTTGAGTTTGCAGTGTTTGCTGCTCCTGCTGTGATTCTTCTTCAGATCATCTGTGTAAGAAGAGCTGGTGAGTTTTTCAGCTTCACACAATTCAAATTCTGGCCAGAGGAGAACTGACCCCCAACTGAGCCTGCTCTCTCTCAAGTGTTTATTTTTAATTTTTTTCCTCCATTTCTGTCACCGATGGAGTTTGGTTTTGGTTCCTTGCCATTGCTGCCTTTGGCTTACTTAGTTGGGTACACTTAATTTCTGGCAATATCGTCAACTTAATTGCACATTCTATTTGAACTGACCTAAGCTGGACAATATAGACATTAGAGATGGGCAGATGAAGCCTTGTGAAGCTTTTGAGGCTTTTCCCCTGATTGTACCAAAAAAAAAGAGTCAAAGCTTCAAAGACAGACCCTACCAGTGACATCTAGTGGTCAGCTGCAGTTATAGCAGCCACTTTCAAATGATTCACACATCTTGTTGATTCCAGTTTCAACACAAAAGCAATACTCGACAATAGCAGCTGTGTCTTCATTCTGAGAATCATTGTCTACACACAAAAGTGTTACTAAGTTACTATGAAGCAGGGAGGGAACACCAAGCATTTCGCGTCTCCTTATAATAAATGAAGCCGCGCCAAAGATTCGAATCAGTCACCTCGCTTTAGGTGTTTCATTGTGACGTATGAAGCCTCAAACGTCATCGGTCACGTGATCACGGAGATTTGATACAATCCCCGACACAGTCTTTCGAACCAGTTTGCTTCAATGGAGTAAAACAGGCTTCGGAGCCTCAGTGTCAAATGGCCCATCTCTAATAGACCTCACTGAATCAACAATGAACTGACCTTAACTGGTAAACTGACTCTATTGTCCTCTTGCATTATCAGCAACAAGTTTTCCCGTTTAACACTGTAAAGCTGCTTTGACACTATCTGTATTGTATAAAGTGCTATAGAAATAAAGCTGACTTGACAATCTGATGATTCACATTGATCTGGAACAATCTGCAATCATGAGAGCTCAGTATATGCTTTTGTGTTGATTTATTTTGCAGGAAGAACTCGCAGCACAGAGAGGAAATAGTAATCATTCCAATATATATATATATTTTTTTTGAATCTCAACATTTTACAACAGTATCCAGGTGGTGAAGACAAGAAAAAAATTAACAAAATTACAATGTCAGTTGCAATCGCCACCTGCACTCTCTATCTGCGACGTCACTTGCAATCGACACAAATCGTGTGTGTTGCCAATGGAGACGAGATGCTGTGGTGGTTCTCTTTCATAGGTTCACGCTGCGATAGCGTTTGCTATGGGAACACCTTCGGTGTGACAAATATCTGAAGCCCTTATACCATCACGCCATTTTATTGGGCAGTAGCACCTAGCACGAGAAGGGTCTGGCTTCATCCATATGTTCATACCAGCGT